ACAACAGAAAGGTGCATGAAGGGAGATAGCAGTCGGTGGTGTAAGATATGAAAATAATTTATAATTTATCAAGGGGTCACAAGGGTGGGAGGAGGGGGAGGGAGGGGAAAAAGAGGAGCTGATACCAAGGGCTCAAGTAGAAAGTGAATGGTTAGAAAATGTCGATGACAACATATGTACAAATACACTTGATACAACTGATGTATGGATTGTTATAAGAGCCCCCAGTAAAATGATCTTTAAAAAAAGTACTCTTACTGGAGGTCCCAGTTCATATATGCACAAGTTGATCCCACACTAAGTGTGCTATTCCAAACAAAGCCTGTCGCTACAATCAGTGGATGGTTGCGTGCAAGTTCTCCGTAATACACTTTAATACATGTGTCTTAGTCTCCTTAGGGTGCCCTCAAAAGGGGGCAGGGAAGGCCCAATCGAAACAGTGGCTTCCTAATGGATCTGTTGGACCATTTTGATTCAAGGCACAGAGGTCAACTCAGAAGGTTACGGCAACTGATTTATGGGATTTCCCGATAGGCAATCTTTGGGGGAGACATTTCCTCCAAGACTGCAGGATGATCACAGGAATTCAACAGAAACATTTTTTTTTAAGAAAATGGAAACCTGCATTGTTGAGGGGAAAAAAGCCAAGGAAGAGGTACTGAGGAGTGTTTCTCTGTCATAACAATGTACCTGCTGACTCTTAGGCGGTAGCAAGGGGTGTTCTCGGAGAATTTCATTTGGCAACCTTACCGCATCCACCCCTCAGCCCCGACCTTACCCCTCCATATGTATTTCTCTTGCCAAAACTCAAGGAACATTTAAAAGGACATGATTTGGGTCCCTCAAAACTGCCATTTTGACATGGTTTAAGTTCAAGTGCACAGATGGAAGCACTGCCTTTAGAAGTTTACAGACCTATCAGGATGGTATGTCAAGAAAGAAGAGCTTCAAATTTTGATATTTTTATTTGAAAAGTTCTATGATTTTGTAGCTATACTTATTTTCACTTATCCTCATGCATACCATATGTGCCTACACATGATTACCTATAGATGTGTATAGTCTATCTGTACTGTCTTTCACTTTTCAGGTGAAATTCATGGGTGGTAGAACCCACTCAAAGGCACCTCACAACAACAACAATTTCAGCTTGAGAGGCGATGGCAGAGAAAGCAAAGCAGAACAAAAACTGGTCAATAGCAGAGACTGGAACAAGAAGTGATTTCCCCAGGCCATTATCTACCTGCCTCACAGCTTCGAAACTCAAATGGCCTCAGTGATTTTGTTTCATGCTATAAACCCTGAGTTCTAAGCAACCCCGTTGTTTCCAAGTTGATTCAGTCGCATCGCAGCCCATCAGGAATTCATAGAATTGCTCCGTAAGGTTTCTGAGACTGAATCTTGACAGAAACAGACTGACTACCTGGTCTTTCCTCCATGAAATCCCTTGTGGGTTTAAATCAGCAAGCTTCCAATTAGTGACCCAAAGCTTACCCAGGGATTCTTAACGTATTTATGGTGTTGTTGTTAGCTGCCATCAAGTCAGTCCCAATTCAAAGTCACATCATGTACAACAGGAAACACTGCCCAGTCCTGTGCTATCCACACAATCATCCCTGTTTGAGCTCTCTGTTGCAGCCACTGTGTCAATCCATCTCTTTGAGGGTGGTTTTCAGTGCCTTCCACCCTGAGGACCTCCTCTTCTGGCATTCGATCAGATAATTGTTCTACTGCTACTCTAAGGGTTTTAGTGGTCAGTGTTTCAGAAGTGGATAGTCAGGCCCTTCTTCATATTCGGTTGCACTCTGGGAGCTCTGAAGAAACCTGCCACTACAGAAGACCCTGCTGATAGTTGAAATACTGCCCACAAAGCTTCCAGCGTCCTAGCAATAAGGTAGGACACACTGCTTGCCGTTAAATCGATTCTGACTCATAACCACCCCATAGCACAGGTGGAATTTCTCTCTAGGGTTTCCAAAGTGACACATCTTTACTGGAGTCGCCAGCCTCATCTTTCTCCCAAGGAGCAGCTGGTGGATTTGAATCACTGACTTTGACATGTGACATTATATGAGTCTACATACTGACCTTTTTTTTTTTAAGCCTACTTAGTGTGAATGGTCCTCTGTCTCAGTTATATGTCCCTACTAATAATGGAAGCTGGGTCAGTCAGTTCTTGTTTCCTGGGAAATAAGACTACCAGGGAGCTCAGAGTCAAATGTGACGCTCCACCATATGAAACAGTTCATCTAGTAAACTTTGCATATTTGGAGCTAAACCTTTCATTTCCTTTTGTGCAGTTTAGGTCTCTCCACATCTTTTGGAAAGCATCCAGGATATAAATAAACACAAAGACAAACTAGGGAGAGGTTAACCCCTTATGTAATTTTCTACCATTAACGAGCAAATCCTCCAGACCCCCAACATTTTTAAATTAAAGAACATCAGCCCTGATTTGCAAAAGGAAAGCAAGTGTACCACTACAGGTGCACTTTCCATCCACTCACCTGTACCATTTTCCTCGGACATTACGGTGTGACAAAGAGCAAGTAATCTCAGAAACTCGTGCACTTTGGGGTCACCCAGCTTGATAGATTCAATCAGACTATGGTCAAAGAACTGAAATGATTTGTCTGCTAGGGGGTTGAAGGAGAAGTCCACAGGATCTTTTTTCTGTAAAGGAGTAACAAAACAGTACAAAAAACTACCGACCTCGATCCAACAACCATCCTTCAAAATTACAAAAATTAAAACCTTCCCTTTAAGTATTAATAGAGCTTGTCCGATTTTTCAACCTCCAACAGCTGGCATTACACGGGCCTTTTGCTTCATTGTTACTGTTGAAAACAATGTCCTCATTTCAGAGCCAGGCACCAAAGCAGCGAATCTCACAAAGGCAAATGAAGAAGACAAATCTCCAGGTCCCTAAATATTTACTGCAACTCCAAAATTAAAATAGTAAAAAATTAAAGCTCCAAAAATGAGGTCATTCTTGTTTAGTTTTGTTTTCAAAAACCCGTTTGACAGCAAAGTCTAAGTGACTTAAGCTGATTGTATCAGCAAAGCTTGATGTGGAATTGTATGAGTCTACTGACTGACTTTCCTAGCCTTCGCACAGTGAACGGATACGTCTCCATGGAAACGTGTGCGTGTGTTTCGTTAGGGTCCTTGCTCAGATCTCACTGGATAAATGACTTAAGATTCACCAGATACACCATCGTGTGGTTTCAGTTTATTTCTTACAAACCACCTCAAATGTTTAAAGCATGAAGTATGCATCCTTCTACTCTGGTGAGAAGATAAAAATTACTAAAAAGAGAGAGCACGCTTAGTTTAATTGTAATGTCAGGGCTGATTACACATATGCATACAATTTCAATATAGACCACCATTCCTTGACTAATATACAGTGCACTGCAGTATTTTGAAATAGCACTGCATCCTGATTCATCTCCAAGTATTTATCAGGCCCCTCCGGTGAGCTAAGTCATTGTTCTGGATTTTAGGGACGTAGTAGTAAACCAAATGCCACCTGTTCCTCTATGAAAGTCAATTCTAGCAGCATAGAGACAAGTAAGCAGGCAATTTCAATCAGGCGGGGTAAGTGCTCTCAGGAGGCAAGGACATAGGCCAGGGAAAGAGGCAGCAGTGCCAAGGGAAGATTCTCAGAACAAATACTACGTAGGTTGAATAGCAGTATGTATAGTGTGCTCCCACCTGTGTAAAAAATAGATGAAATATATTTATTTGCAGATATATAATATTTCTAAAATAATTTTAAGATACAGAGGAAACGAGGACTTACCTGAGAAGAAATTTTAGCCACATGAATGTATTTTGTGATGCTATACATCCACTATCTCTCAAAATAGCATAAATCTGGCTCCTTGGAACTCATAGTTTTTTAAAAGGACATATGCAATTCAAAATTAAAACTAAGAATAAACACTTATCACCTCCACACCTTAGTAATTTCTGTCTTCTGACCTGGGCCATCGTGTATTTCACCTGCCAAAACAAAAATTGAAAATGAAAATAAAAGAAATTGTTTCCTCTGTGAACAACTCCCTTCCTGGCTCTGAGACCAGAGCACCAGATGATGCCTCATGACAATGATGGACTCGCCGGGTCACAAATTCTGTAGCCGAATCCTGGTCAAAAGGGGGGGAAGTGAAAACAGTGTCTAATTCTGGAGCCTGAAGTCTGGATGAAGCTCTGAAGCGATTCGTCTGAAATAGCCATTAAACTTTAAATAAAAATTATTCCCTAAAGTTTTCTTAGAAGCCAGTAATAGTATAGCTTAAGGAGTAAGAAAATGCTCTTTAAAGAGCTATCTATATGGGAACAAATGGACAATAACAACTTCAAACATTCGATGGGCACTCTGGGGGCAGTGAGTTCAGTTAATGGAGGAGAAACACAGACTCCGAAAAGGAGAGGGGCAATTGTTGTGGAATGTCTTGGATTGTGGAAGAGTGGAATCGATGTCACTGAATCAAACATCTAAAAATGGTCGGACTGGGGTCTGTTTTGCTATGCATATTTTCAAGAATAGTTCTTTTTCCCTTTTACTTTTCTGAAAACACCCATTGCCATTGGGCGATTCTAGCTCACAGGGACCGTACAGGACAGGGTAGAACTGCCCTGCAGATTTCTGAGACAATAACTCTTCACGGGAGTAGAAAGCCTCGCCGGTCTACTGGGAAGCAACTACTGGGCTCCCGCTGCTGAACTTGAGGCGAACAGCACCAGGTGTGGCACACGGTGCCATCAATTTTAATAAGGAAATGCTCATTGATTAAAGTGCCAATCCTAGAGGGCACTATGAGTTCAAATGGGGGCTTTTTAGAAATGTCTTCAAACTATAGCCCTAGACCTATGTAGAGATCTGAATCTAGAACGGAAAGGGGTAGGTAACAAAAACAAAGACGCACACAACTGTCTATTTTTTTTCCATGAAGTGACTCATGCTGTTGTGACATTGCCTGGGACACTTGCGAAAGGAAAGGCAAGTTTGTGTCTTCCGTGTGATTCCCATGGTCGGGGAATCACAGATGACAACTGGAACAGATCACTTCTAGTAAACACTAGAACTTGGTGACTGTCTCTTTATCTGTTGCGGTTTGGACCAGCTTTTCTGTGTATCATCAAGGTCAAATTACTTGAAGTGCATAAACTTCAAGAGGTATCAGTGCTTTTTGTAAACAGAGAACATAGCCACTTATTAGTGTAGAACTCATAGATGCATAGTATAGATAGTTTAGAAAATGTAAGATGTTTACAGAAGACATTAAAATGTATTAATAATCCTATCCCTCAAGGATACCTAGTGTTTATGGGTCTGGGGGCTTTAGGGAGTGGATTTTGCATGTTGCAAATATTTATCATATTTTTCATAAATTTTGTGTTCCTATTGTATTTAACCACTGACAGTATGAGGATTTCTCCTATCATTGAAAGTTCTTTATGAATTTCATTTTGTTACATGACTATAAATGGATCTTCATTTATCTCAGCCTTCTCCTAGTGTGGGTCATTTGGTTGGGACCCCTCCCATCATTTTACTTGGCACTTGAGGACGTAGTAGCTAATTGTGATTATTATACTTTTTGCAATAATACAATTTACAGGCATCAGTTGTGTGCCAGGATCACACATGATCACTAACTCATCCTAAAAACGAACTTAAAGATGAGGATTTTTTCCGTCTAGTTTTATGGATAAAGAAACAAAAGAACAGAGTTTAAAGTTGCATGACTGAACTGAAAATCAAAAGTCAGCTGAGTGGGGTTTCTAACGCAAGTCTCTTTTGTCCTTACACAATGCTATAACCACAAAGCACTTGACAAATAGTCATTTGTTGTTTTGGGTGGGGGCACAGATCTGAAGCTGGACTTGTGTGCGGCTGTGTGGAGGGAGTCTCTTGAACTAATGCATGAACCTAGACATGCACCTGGAATTTAACTCTTAAGCACATTGTGGTTATTTGCCACTTGTTAGCCCAATGTAATAACTCTAATAAAATAATGATTATTTTTAAAAGCTGTTTATTTTAATAAATCCCCCCCAAAAAAACCCCATTTATAATATTGGCAGTTGGGGGGGGGGTGTCTCATTGCCATCTAGTCCATTTCCACTCACAGTGACCTTACAGGACAGAGGAGACCTGCCCCTGTGGGTTTCTGAGACTGTGGCTCTTTACGGGAGTAGAAAGGCTAATCTTTCTCCCATGGAGTGTCAAGTGGTTTTGAACTGCTGACCTTGCAGTTAGCATCCTACTATGCCATGGTGCTGCCAGGGCTCCCATTGGCAATGGACATGAAGAAACATGAAAGAAGTCTAAGAAACTAGCAATTCTGAGTCAGACAACAGAAGATTTAGGCAAATCAGAATAGAATGCCAACTTTTCCCAAACCCCAGATCCATGATATAAACAAATCCACTCTATCCTGAGAAGGTCTTACTTAGCAAGACCGTAGTTTAATGGCATTATAAACCTTCTATTTAATTAATGAGTAGTCTAGAGGGTGACTTAAATCTTTCTGTGTGACTTAAATCTTGCTTTGTCTGAGGAGAAATACAAACTAACAAGAGATTTGGAAAGACCTTGGAATATACACTTTCTGAAAGTCAAGGGTCTTTCCTACAAAAAGTTGAGCGATATACATCTTCACCCATAAGTGGTGGCCCACAGATCTAGCTATTGCCTTAGGATCACCTCCCAGATGGGATATTATTAGACGAGATCGGGCACGTTCAGGGTGGTATGGCCGTAGACAATGGGATATTATTAGAGCCATGGACCCTGTTAAAAGAATCCAAAAAATCACCCACATTCCAAATATAATCCATCTTCTGACTGAATTTTTCCCATTTAAATGACATCTGGGCTTAAGGTGTATTTTTCAAAGCTTCTGAAAATAAATGCCAGCCAACATTTTTAAAGGGAAAGACTTACTTGAAAGAAAATAGTTAGTCATTTTGATATTGGCTAAGAACTGTACCGTTTAATAGAGGACCTCTGGAAGTTCCAGGTCAAAAACCACCTGGAACACACCCAGGGATGGCAGGAGAGGGAACTGGGAATGGAGAGTGGCTGAGGAAATCATGGGACCTGAGGCTATGGGATTTGGGTAGCGAAGGGAGGTCAAAAGCCAGGAATGCATAAAAATTCAAATTCCTTTGTTTGCTTTTTTCATTTTTTCCAGGGTCAGATCTTGCTTCAAAATAGTTGCCAGTGTCTGAGGCCACCCATCAGGGGACCAAAGAAAGTTCTCCCTCTTTCTTGAATGTCCTTCACTTCCCAATATGTCCATGTTAGGAACATGGATAGCAAAGGTCTGGTGACGTGAGCTCGGGAGTCCACAGTAACCCCGGAGAAGGCTTGCACAGAGCCTTCATACTGTCCGTGGCTGAATTGTCTGTCAGCTGACCAAAGCAGGAGGGACAAGGGTCTCACATGAAGATCAAGCTTTGGAAAACTCAAATCTAGAGCATGTAACCTGACATATCATTTTCTTTGCACCAGTTATCAGGAAAGGCCCATTGCTCAAAAAAGGAATATCATGTTTGGTAAGGGGTCTGCAAACAAACCCCACAAAACAAGGAAACCCCACATTGAGATGGACTGACACAATCTCCTCATACATTCCAAAAATCATGGAGTAGGTACAGACCAGGCACTGTTTCCACCATTATACAGCCGTGGGTCTACCTTGGGTTGCCAAGAGCCAAGGGCAACCAACAACACCAACACCCTGGCGTGCAGAGAGCCGCTGGATAGGAATGATAGAGTGTGGCCACCCGGGTGACCCTCCGGAGTCTGAATTCTCAGAAATAAAAAGTGACTACTCACATGAAGACAGGCACAGTCATTAACAGAAAATCCCGAACTGAACAGGAATAAAGTAAAAGATACTATTGTTTTTTAATGGCGATAAGTCAGTGGAATCAATCATTTGTTCTCCTTGGGATATAGTCTACTGGGGACCAGAGAGCAGATCACCTAGGGATAGTGCTAAAAAGAACCTCAGAGAGCATCCGATTGAACCACTTGTTCTACTCCTGAATTGCCATAAATCCCGAGTTTCGTGCACGTTATTCCATATGCATCCGACAGTTATTTACCGAGTGCTGGTCGGGTGCAGCCACTGGTCACTCTATTAATCAGAAAGGGAGTGGTGGCCTTGGTTTGTAACTTAAACAAAGAGAGAGTTGCTTTCTATCAAACAATATATCATGTTAAAGCTAAGAGAACTGTTAACCATTATTTTTGTTTTGTTTTGTTTTTCAAGGAATTGCTTCCCTTACCATAGATCCTGC